AGAAAGACTGAGTCCTAACGGATCCAGATAGTTTCGTCAGTAACTGGCTGAATACTTATCGGAAACGCCTGATCAAAAAAGGCGGACCAGTATCGGATTTCTGTCTTACTTCTGATCAGCCAACCTGATCAAAATTTCCTCTCGGGGTTGCTCTCGTCTCAGTCTCGAAATACGCACTATCGACTTCTCTCGTGATGATTCCGAGTCAATTTATCTTTATTTATATTTCGGTCTCAAGTTGTTCGTGTTTTTTAAAGTAAAATTTCGGTTTTTGTCTCGGTTTGTCTCGTCTCGGTTTTCTACATATAACAAACGCGAAAAACTGGAAACCGAGATGAGATAAATTGACTCGGAGTGATCACGAGAGGGGTCAATACTGCGTATTTCAAGACTGAGATGAGACCAAAAATTTCCGTGTTCACTGAGACCGAGACAATCCCTCCAAAGTATTGTCTCGTGATGTCTTGTGAAATGTCTCGCGACATCATTAGAAATTTCTCTAAAATAATGTTCATTTCTTTAAAAGTACGACCGAACATCAGAAAAATTAAGAGAAAACAGTGAAAAGATTTTTTCTCAATTTTTCCACTATTGGAGAAATATTTGAGGAGAAAGATATGCCCCACAAAAATTGTCCTCAAAATTTAGGTCAAAATGATTCTGCAGAGCCTAAATTGTCTACATTTCATGTTCCCTAGATTAAGTTTATACGACCTTTTTCCACTTTGTTGACATAAAAATCTAAAAATGGTCAGTACGACCTTTTTTCACTTAGCACGCGATATAGCGTTCCTCATCTTTGTGACGTCATAGGAAATGAGGGAATGGGATTTGGATGAGGTAGGAGGGGAACCGGGATTAATATTGGGAGGGGCAGCCCCTCCCAATTTTTATTGAAAAATATGGGGCGAGGGGGGGTGCTCTCAATTTTTTGGTTATGAATTCTCAGTTCACCCCCCCCCCCCCAATTTTTACTGAAAAATAGCGGGGTGGGGGCTCTCAATTTTTTGGTTGTGAATTCTCAATTCACCCCCCCCCCCCAATTTTTACTGAAAAATAGCGGGGTGGGGGCTCTCAATTTTTTGGTTGTGAATTCTCAATTCACCCCCCCCCCCCAATTTTTACTGAAAAATAGCGGGGTGGGGGCTCTCAATTTTTTGGTTGTGAATTCTCAACGAACTCCCCCCTCCCAATTTTTCCGTAAAAAGTCGCTATCTTCCTTAGTTTCGGACGATGTAAGTCGTCTACTGGTGCAGCGGAGGGTTGTACTGAATTCTCGATGTACAGCCCCCCTCCCTCCCGTAATTTACTAACTCGTTGGTGAGTTTTTTCCACTGAAAAATTGGGGGGGAGGGGGGCTTTACATGGAGACGATCAACTGAACGATTAACTGGATAATCAAATAATTAATGGTTGAAACTATCCATTAACCAGTTTAGTGGATCGATTTTGATACACATTGATAACTAATCATAATAATAGATAATTAATTATTGAAATTAACAATTAATTCAATATTCAACAATTTTGTAATTCAATGAAATATTATCAAAATAATTAGGAAATTGATCTTAGTTTTGAGGCTTTCGCGGCCATTATTAATGACATTATTAGCTTCCGGATGGATGCCGCGTTTGGTTTCAGCATTGCGCCGACGTTTCGCAAACATTGCAGTCTGCATCTTCAGGGCTATGAGCTCCGATTCGGAGCTCACTGTTTGCGAAACGTCGACGCAATGCTGAAACCAAACGCGGCATCCATCCAGAAGCCAATAATGTCAATTAGGAAATTTATATTTTTGATTATCTGTGGACTGAAGAATCAATTAATTTTCTGTAGTGATTAAGGATTGATCCGATAATCAGATAATTGCTTATCGTTCTTGAAGATTACTCCATTTATCCGAAGTTTCGACTTGTGAGTAGAAAAGTGAATTAACATCATCGGAGAAACATCATTGACTTGTTTCAAGCAGAACGAACCGATTTATTTGCGTCAAAAAATTTAGTAACGAGAGATTTGATACAAGTCGAGTCCCAAAATCTCTTTGGATGAAGTAGAGTGGGACTTAGATCGGATTACGCCGGGCTCGAACTAAATCAAGTCGGACAATCTGTTAGGATCAAGGCGACGGGTCGGTTAAACACCTTTTTGTATGAGATTTCATTGACTTGAAAAAAAAAAAACATTTTCCAACACCAAGAAAATTATTGTCATAAACCTCCCTCGAAGATTGAAGAATTTCGGAATAAATTTATTCCGGATTAAATTTTTTAACACAAATTTTCAAGTTTTTATTTGAGCGATTTTTCGATTTTCTAATTTTGACGGTAAATGGGCTAGAATGTTATGAAACGTAAAGAAATGATGTTTTTAGGGTCATATCTCAATGTATTTGTGTGACCACTTGGGTTTTTGGTGATCAATTTTTAGAAAATTCAACATAAATAAGATGAAATTTGTCGATAAAAGTCTGAAATATTGGCTCTGAAATATTGGTAGCTAGGATTAAGCTTCACTTTGGTGCGCGATTTCAGTTCGATTGGTCCAGTAGTTTCTGAGATATAACAACTTCTTTAAATTTCGTTTTTCCTCAATCTCTCAAAATCTACTCCACCGATTTCATTTTTTTTTTAATAGTTGTCGATAACCTCTATCTAGATCAATCAAAATATATGAGGTATATTCCGCGCCAAATGAGTCAACCGTTGAACCTCACGGGGCGGGGTTCAAAAACTATCTCTCCAATTTTTTCAGATTTTTTCAGCAGTCCAGTTTGAAGATATGATTTTTTTCTCTTTTTTTTTTTCAATAATTTGAGTTCGCTCCATATGATTTTTATTTATTAACCGTCAAAATTTTTAATTTTGTACTGCCTATAAGAATATTTTTAGTAAAAAAATTTTTTCGCTCTTTAGATGCTCATAATAACGAATTTTTGAAAAACAAAGTTGAAAAAGTTGAATTTTTAAAATTACGTCACTTTTGATTTGTTTCATTTTTTTTCCAGTTGTTCTGATAATTAAAACAAGTATTTTGAGCCGTCATACAAGTTGGGGATCCTCCTGGATCTATTTTATTTTCATTTTTTTCTTTTCGAAATTCCGCAAATTTGGTCAAAACACCCGAAAATGAGGTCGATTGAGTTTGATTATGGAGAGTATGAAGTGAATTTGACTATATACCTATATACCACATAGTTTTCAATACATAATCGAAGTCGTTTTGGGGCGTTTTGACCAAATTTGCGAAATTTCGAAAGGAAAAAATAAAAAAATAAAATAGGTCCAGGAAGATGCCCAACATGTATGACGGCTCAAAATACTTGTTTTGATTATAAGAATTGCTGAAAAAAAATGAAACAAATCAAAAGTGCCGTAATTTTCAAAATTAAACTTTTTCAACTCTGTTTTTCGAAAATTCGTTATTATGAGCATCTAAAAATCGAAAAAAAATTTTTACTAAAAATATTCCTATAGGTAATACAAAATTAAAAATTTTGACGGTTAATAAATAAAAATCAGATGGATAGAATTTCAGTTATTGAAAAAAAAACGAAAAAACGAAAAAAAAATCATATCTTCAAACTGGGCTGCCGAAAAAATCTGAAAAAATTTGAGAGATAGTAGTTCAACCCCCCCAATCGTAGAAAAAATCGCCATCAATTTCTAAGAGGGTGAAGGTCAACGGTTGACTCATTTGGCGTGGAATACCTCATATATATCCGTTCAGACAAAATTTGAAGATATTGCCGTTTTTCCGTTTTTTCATGCAAGATCTTGTTTACACAATAACTTAGTAAAAAATGGAGAAAGCGAGTTGAAATTTTGTATGCTTCTAGCTTTTATAACATAAAATGTTGGTATTGTGGATGGGCGCAATCGGTCGAGCGGTTATTGAAATATTCAACCTTTTGTGTAAATATATTTCTTCAAATATTTCATAAACTACTGGACGGATTTCATTTTTTTTTTCAATATACTTGTCTCGGTAGCCGCTATCCAGATCAATCAAAATATATATACCCGTCCATACAAAGAATCAGAGATATTTCCGTTTTTCGTTTTTAAAATTTTTTTATTCTTATACGCACGATATTTTAAGAAAAAATGAAAATAGCAAGTTGAAATTTGGTGGAATTATAGCTCTTACAATATTACACATTCGTATTTTGGATAGGTGCGATCGGGCGAGCAGTTTCGAAGATACTTAACCTTTTGTATAAATCTATTTCAGTAAAAGGCTGAATATCTTCCTTTAGACATGAAAAACAAGGAAAGGACTAATAACGCAAAAAGTAACGGTCACATGCCTTTTGCCGGATGGGCTTGAACCCCTGCTTGTTAGTTTGATTTTCTTGATAAAAAGGAAAGAAAAATAGAATGAAAAAAGCGTAGAAACTTTGAGCCGAGGGAATTACATAGAAAACATCTGAAAGAATAAATTATATAGAAAAATCCACTCTTATTAATTTTGTCTATAGAATATTTTCTATTGAAAATTTCACAAGAATCGGCCAAAAACTAATAGAAATCTAATAAAAATGTCTCGCGAATTCGCTAGTTTGTTCTATTAAACTTTTTCGTGCGTGACTGTCGACGAACTTTCGCTCAAGATTGATCGGCAGATTATTTTGATTTATTCCACCACTTAACTGACGATATTTTCAACTGGGCTTGGTGCCACCTGGCCTTTATCGAATAAAATCAGAAAGATCAATAGAAATTAACTAATAACACGAATCCATTCGGAAGTTTACTACCAGATAGACGCGGCCCCCTACTTGTTTCCAATTTCCATCTCTCTAATTTTTCAACATGCAATTTTTCAAATCTTGAAAGGTATTCCTCGACAAAAAAAAAGATAATATTAATGAACAGAAATTGCTTCACATATCGTTTTTTCCCACATCTTGAACCCTCCAAGGGGGGGCGTTTTAATCGCAATTAACCGCCAGTGCTCACCGCAGCGCTAGCAGTCTCCCTCCGACAGTGCTCGCTTTTTCGCGCGGAGTGGGTGTAATCGCGATTTGTTTCCTAACGTGTTTGCTAAATGAGACATTTATTTTTCTATAAGCGATTGAATAACTTAGTGGTGGTAACAAGAGACTGGTGAATTAAGTTAAAATGCCGCCGAAGAAGCGGGAGAAGGAATTGGAGAGTCAAAAACCACCGAGAATGGATCAAATTCAGGCGGACCACGAGCTCTTCCTTCAAGCCTTTGAAAGTGAGTGCTCCAAAATGCATTTCGACTCGCAACCCTTGTCTCTAGTTCTACATTACTCCTTCAATCTTAGAATACAGTCTTTTTGGGGGATTGCAGGGGAAAAAGAGACATTGCTCCAAAATAATTCTCAGTTGTCAATGATAATGAACATAACCCCAATCTACATGGAGTAACTTTCAAGCGCTGTCGCGCGCGTCGGGTCACTTACCTCCCACCTCTTTTTTCCCACTCAATGTGATCGGACACCTGTCATTAATTTACAATCAATTTTCCATTCTGTTAGACGAAAAACAAACTATTTTTGGGTTGAATTCCACCGCTTTTGGTCTTTATTTTCGTGGTTTTGCATTCGCGCCAAAATCGATGGGTTCTCTGGGTGGATTCACTGAGGAGGACACTTCATTTCGCGATATATTACCTCGATAGGTAGATTGTAACAAAGAAAACGTTGAATTTTATCCTGCTACATGGGAACTTAACTTTTTTATCGAATACATACTTTGATATCGTTTTATTTGTCATCAACTCTATTAAATTTCGTTGAATGTTGAAGGTGAAATGATTGACTGACGTGTTCTCTAAATTATGACAAAGAGAAGTTTTTCTTTTGTTCTGTGTAAAAAATGAACCTTCGTACGAAATTAATGACTTCGTTACATTTTGTTATCTTCGATTCGCTTTAAAATTGAGGAAATTTTTCTTGGCATGGAGGATAATATTATTAGGTAGATTGAGTACTTCTTCGTATCCAATTACTAACGTTTTTTGTTTCCGAATGGAGGCATTGTAATTGCTGAAATTTAAGTTTTTGATTTTTTGTGTTATATCGACCCATTATGATCCGAAAAGTCCGAACATGCAATTTTTAGACCGTGTCCGTACGTATGTGTGCATGTATGTATGTTCAATTTGCATGTATGTTTGTTCAATATTTTTGAGCCCTATCGATCGCCAGTGATTAAAATTTAATTCATGGATTATTTTTTTTATTTTTGAATTTTTTCGAGAATCAGTTGTCCCACGATAGCTAAAAGAAATTCTCTGAATTGATTGAATGATGGCTTAATAAAATTATGTGGATGTCCCTTTCACCGAGTTCGAAGATGAAGGCGATAGCAATAATCGTTATGTCATTTGAAAATTTGCAAAAATTTTGTATTTTTTGAAAATCAGAATTCCGGGGATGTCTTTGAATATCATGCTTCAAATGAATTGAATCATAGCTTAAAATGTTGGTTTCAAGGCCATTAGACGAAGTTAAAAGATGATTACGATAGCTATATTGGTTGATTTGATTTTTATGATGATTGTTGGAAATTTCGAATTTTTCATGAACTTCCCTGAAAGTGAGTTTTTTCATGGTTTCTTCAAATGTGATGTTTCAAATTCATTCAAGTGTGTGTAAAGGAAATTTTGCTATTAACATTTTATCGAAGGGCTGAGGGGAAAGATAGAACCGTAAAAAAGACAATCGGTTGTATGCCCGGTGGCCTGGCGTAGTGGTTAAGGCCGTTGCCTCACAACGGATAGGTTCCAGGTTCGATTCCTGGCCGGGTAGAATGGTGAGATCTAACCATTTTTAAAGTCTTGATCAATCGCCATATAGTCTCATCAGACTCGAAGCGATATAAAATAAGCATAAAAAAAAAAAAACTGTTGTATAGAAGAAAGAAATAGTAAAAATAATGATGATGATAACATTTAATTAAGTTGAAAATCTGACAAAATCAGTTGAAAAGAAATCTTATGCAATTTAATAAAATGAAATGAGCACTGAATCATACATGATAGAAGGAAATAATGTGCAAAATAACCATTCGGAAGCATATTGCTAATTTATCAACTGTAATACCCCAAGACCCTCAAGTTTTCCTGCATATCAACGATTGGGATCAGTTTTGCAGATTAAAATCCCGAGCGCATAGCGCGAAGGATTTTACTGCAAAACTGATCCCTCTCGTTGCTATGCAACAAAACATCCGGGAAATATCCGATGAATTTTGAAGATCGAGGGGTATTCAGAAGACAATTTCTTCAATTCTGATTTTGGCCGATCAGGGTGGGGCATTCGGGGTTACGGGACATATTTCACAAAAATGTGAGGAATATCTGCCAAATTCGTAGAAAACAATTGACAGGCTACAGGAAAATTATCACTTGTAATACCACAAGAGCTTCAAAATTATTGGGTATTTTCCGATAGGTTCGTTGCAAACAAACGAAGGAGTCAAGTCTTCCAGGTTCCTGAAAAACTTGACGACTTCGTTTGTATGCAGGGAACCTTGAGGAAAATGCCCGATTAATTTTGAAGCTCGTGTGGTATTCGGGGGATTATTTTTCCAATCCAAATGTCGGGCAATATAATTGGACCATGGGACGAAACTCACAATTGAGAAACGAAAATTGTATAATTAACACACAACGACACGATTGAATTCAATCTGTCAGTTTGACGAGGGGTTAATTCGACTGCATGATGTTTTCTTTTTTATATAGCAACTACCAGAGAAAATTATCAAAAAATTATCACTTGAAAACCCTGTAGCTTGTACCACGTGATGTCGAATGGGCCAATTATATTGCCCGATATTTAGGTTGGAAAAATAATCACTAGTAATACCACGAGACCCCCAAAATTATCGGATATTTCCCGATTGTTTTGTTGCGTAGCAACGAGAGGGAGAAGTTTTGCAGATTAAAAGATTTTTCTGCAAAGCTTATGCCGATCGTTGATACGCAGGAAAACATGAGGAAAATGTTCGATTAATTTTGTAGGTCGAGTGGTATTCGACGGATTATTTTTGGTAATCGGATCCTTTCCAAACCGACTCATTTTGACTTTCTTCATGACTTTCTTTCACTCCACAGGATAATATTTGACAGTTATTTGGTTAGAGAAACAATTGCAAAGCTAGAGGGAAATTATCAAACGCTAGGGGAAAATAACCGCTGTAATTTTAATTGGGAAGTACTCCATGTTATTGAATACTGAACTCTGATTGGCCTAGGGAAGGCCAGATCCGATTACCAAAAATAATCCGTGTGAAATGTGTCACGTGACCCCGAATACTCTGATTGGGCAAAATCAGAATTGAGGAAATTGTCAGCAACAATAACGATACTATATGCAAAACAAAAGCAATCTCCCACTTGTTTAGTTCGGTAGAGGAGTAGTAAAACGTGAAAGAATGAGTCGATTTCCCATGCCCAGTTAAAGATAAAATTACTTTGAGAATGAGTATTGGGGAAAGTAGGGGACGGTGGGGTAAAATAGACTAGACACTTTTGACTTTTTAAAAAATATTAAAAACTCGGAAACAGATTTATCAATTGAGATCAGCTTAGGCTCATTACAAAGGGGGAGAATTGTTCTTTTCATTGATAAATAACTTCCATTTTATGAACAATTCAGCCCGTCATTAACATCTCAAAAAAGTCAAATGTGTCCATTTTACCCCACCTTCCTCTACCGAGAGATATATTTTATAGGAAATTTTTGTAGCTACAAAAAAGATCCCTTGATATTGTCCATTTTTACATTCCGCTCAGAGAACAATCCAGTAGCGAAGCGGTAAACCGGGTTAAGTTGATTTTGGATTTTGATCAGTCTTTGATGAATATCTCAGAATCTAAGATAAATAGCAAAATTTTTCTCATGACCGTTTTTGTAGAGCCAACTGAGAGTTATAAAAAAGGTTATGACAAAAATTTTTCTATCTCTTTTAGATTCCGAGATATTCGTCACAAACTGGCCTTTAATCAAAATCGACTTAACCCAGTTTACCGCTTCCCTACTGAATCCATTATTAACTGCAGCACGTCTCTAATTACTTATAACAAATTTTCTTTGTTACCAAAACATCAGCAGAGATTTTTACTTGTGACAACAAAACTTTCAACCATTAGAATGAAGTTTAGGTATAACAGAAAAAATTTCATTTGTAAGCAAGAATTTCTCTGATTATATAAGTCAACTCGTGTTTTGATTACAATGAAGTTTGTTTGTGGAACAAAACGACATATGATAAAAAAATATTTATTCGTAGCAAGAATTTTTTTTGTACGATTTGCCATTTTGATACGGAATTACTCCTATAATCAATTGAAGATTGCATTTCCGCGAATTGTACAATTGTCTCGATAAACAAGTGGACAATTGCATTTTTTTATGTGAGGTATTCCATGCCAAATGAATCAACGGCTGACCCTCACCCTTTTGGAAGTTGATTTCGATTTTTTCTGCGGTTGGGGGGCTAGAAAAACTATCTCTCAATTTTTTCGGCAGCCCATTTCCGAGATATGATTTTTGCTCTGTTTCCTCGTTTTTGTCAACAACTCGGGTTCTATTCAGCCGATTTTTATTTATGACGGTTTAAAATTTTCCATTTTCTACCGTCTACAAAAAGATTTTCGGTAATTTTCAGGCGAATTTAAGCAACAAGTATTTTGAGGCGTCGTACAAGTTAGGTTTCGTCCTGGACTAGTTTTATTTTCAATGCTTCTTCTCGAAATTCCGCGAATTCGGTCAAAAAACCCCAAAACTACTTCGATTATTCATTTATAATCAAAGCCAAGTAGCGCTATTTTGGGGTATTTTGACCAGATTCGTGGAATTTCGAGAAGAAAAAATTGAGAATAAAATAAATTTAGGACGAAACCCAACTTGTATGCCGCCTCAAAATACTTGTTTTGATTACAAGAGTTACTGAAAAAAGACGAGAAAAATAAAACATGACATAATTTTGAAAATTCAAGTATTTCAACTTTTTTAAAATTCGATATTATGAGCACCTACACGGAGAGAAATGTTCAGTAAAAATTACGGAACTCACAATTCGCTCACCTATTACGGAATCGACTCAGACAATTTAAGTGCCAGAATCGTAATTTTTCACAGGAGATTCAGGTAAAAATTACGGGACGTTCTGGAAAAATTCCGTGACATGTCCCTAAAATTTTCTACAACCACATTTCGCTCTGGAATTACGGAAAAGATACGT